CGTCCATCCCATGGGGAATGGGAGCAGTAACAAAGGTGTTGCGTTTATATTTTTGTTGAGTGTATATAGAGTCTCAAGTAATGCTGGGTGACAGGCAGGGTATGCATGAACCAGTTCTCTGGAATAGAACTAGCAAACAGAAAGTATTCAGTCACCAATCCAAATTCAATTTTTCAATTCAATTCAATCTTATTTATGCAGCGCCAAATCACAACAACAGTCGCCTCAAGGCGCTTTATATTGTAAGCTAGACCCTACAATAATACATACAGAGAAAAACCCAACAATCATATGACCCCCCTATAAACAAGCACATTGGCTGTGACCAGTTGTTGTGATTAAAAAAAAGAAACAGGATAAAGAAACATGCTGTGAAAGAGAGCCAGCGACTGATAACAAGTAGGATTCAATGTAGATGGGTCTGTTAACATATAGTGAGTGAAAAGAGTGAGTAGAGGAGAAATATTTAAGGCATCATGGGAATCTCCCAGCACCCTAAAACTATTGCAGCATAACTAAGGGAGGATTCAGGGTCACCTGATCCAGCCCTAAGTATATGCTTTTTTCATCACCAAGCACAATGCAAAGCACTCATTCAGAATGGGATGTCACTCAAGTTCATATGGGTGTGAAGGCAGACGTGCAAATACTTTTGGCAAAATAGTGCATATATACAATTACAATGCTGGCTTTACCTGTCTATCAAGTTTGAGAAAATGAAGTAAGCGTGTGTACGCTTAATCCCTGTAGGCTGAAAGCTCAGGCTTTAGAGCTCTAAATGCTTATTCATCAGACAGTTTTTCCTTCTACTTTTGGTTCTGGTTGAAATCCCTGAGGGCATCCCTGAGGCCTCCAGTGGATGCAACCATCCACTGGAGTCTATCCCAGCTGTCACACGGCAAAAGACTGAGTAGACCCTGGACTGTTGCATTGAAAAACCATAATCATGTCATACTTTTGCTTGTTTGTTTGCTTTTACATAAGAATCATCACTGTACTACTGTTCATTTCTCCTTTTTCTGTTCAGGTTTTATGCATGCAGGTTATCCTATCATGGTACAAAAAAGCTCAGCTGCTAACCTGGTTGACGTTAAAAAAGGTAAAGGCATGTGGGGTGCCATCCACGAGATGGGACACAACCAACAGAGAGGCTGCTGGGAGTTCCCACCACACACCACAGAGTGTACATGCAACCTGTGGTCAGTGTATGTGCATGAAGAGGTGCTGGGCATCAAGAGGGAGAAGGTGGAGTAAATCACATGCGTCTTTCAGACCAATGGCCAGAAAAGCTTTTGTTGAATTGTGATGCTTTTTATATCAATCAGTTTTAGAAAGCATAACTCTTTTTTTGATATCCTATGAGGACAGAAGACTTAACACTGTTTTCCTTAGAGTAAAATGCTTAACAGTCACCTTATTCCATACTATTCAATGCAGGCTCATGGAGCTATGACTGCAGCAAAACGACAAAGTCGAGCCAAGGATTACGTCGCAGGAGGCAGGAAACTTGAGAGCTGGAGCATGTGGGTGGCTCTGGAAACATATATGCAGGTGAGAGAATTCTACTCTGTAGAGAAACTGTCCTTTGTCCACACTGGAGTGACCTGCTTTCACTGGAAAAAAATGATTGCATGCAAAACTGAAAGCAGAGTGTGAAACAAGGCGAGTTCCAGAAACTGTAAGATGATATATTTTAAATCAAGTCACTATCAAGAAAGTGTGGAGACAGAATTAAAACAGTATCTTAACAAACAGAAATAAGCCTGACATGAACACTTTATTAGACATAACATGATTATCAGCATTTTGATTTTTGTCTCCTCATCTGCAGCTCCAGGAAAGGTTTGGCTGGGATGCCTTTAAGAAGGTGTTTACTGCGTATCATCACATGAAAGACATCCCCAAGGACAAGAAAAGAAAAATGAATCTGTATGCTGAGACCTTCTCCCAGACTGTGGGGATGGATCTGACTGGCTTCTTTAAGGCCTGGGGCTGGCCAATAGAAACAGCCACTGAAGGGAAGCTCTCCCAGCTGCCTTCCTGGAACGATCACCCCATGACCCAGTATGACTAAACCTCAAACCACTGCAGTGTGCAGAGAAATGTCTTCAACCAATATCTTAATTTGAAGTGAATGATGAGCAACACGGTGAACTGATTTGGTGTCTGGTGTTCTGTTTCAACAACATTTATTAGAGTATCTGAATAGAGAAACAAATCCTGTACATAGCTTGTACTCACTACAGCCTGTACATACTTATAGTTATAGAATATTCACAACATACTTCATACCGCGTACATTATAACATACCATAATAGACCCATTTCTGTAATATACTTACATATCTATATTATTGCTAATATATATTGTAATATATCTATATCACTAAAGCACTTCTGGATGGATGCAAACTGCACTTCGTTGCCCTGTACCTGTGCATGTGCAATGACAATAAGGTTGAATTCTATTCTATTCTAAATGATGTGGTGAGGTTGTAGTTATTGAATTCAGTTTGAATTTTTTTTCCCTTATGTACCTGTACGGGGTAGGTACAGTAGGCTTTCACTTACTGCCAGGTAGACTAGACATTCGATGATAACAAGAGTGGATCTTTGCCTTTGTTTTGTACAGGGCTGAAATCATAGCAAGACATTGCACTACTATAACATACAACGCAATACACTTGCCTTACACTGTGCTCTACTGAATACGTTCACTGCAACCCTTTCCTTAAAAAATAGTAGTCTTTTATGAGGACACAGGATTTTTATAAGGACACTTATATTATTAGAAATGTGGATTTTCTTTATGTGAATAAGCATAATATTGAAACTCATTTGCTCTGCTGCTGTATTTTCATGTTTGCATTATGTTGGGTTGCAATAAAGAGGTCAGACTTTATAATAAAAGAACTTTAGTCTTTAGTTTCACTACACTGATATCTGAAACAGCTTCAATAATAATCCACTTTATCTTTTTCCATTAAGAGAGAGAAAAAAAGTGAAAGACTTCATTTCATTCTGAAATACTGTTATATTGTAGCTGCATCAATACCGTGATTCCCAAACAGCCATTAGCTGAATACTGCATATCTCAACATGGTCTGCTGTTTGTCCTTACAAATATTTTGAGGACCCCCCCATAAGCATACCCTCTTGGGACCTGTGTGAGGCCAGATTATGATTATGTATTTACAGTCTAGGTTTATTTTTTTTCTAAAATATTCAGCAATATTATCCAACATTAATCACGTGCAGAGTTGGGAGTCAGCATTGAAATCACTTGATGTGCGATGTGCGATAGTTTGTTAATATAGCAAAACTTGTGCTGGGCTGCGCAGTCAGATGGTGAAAAACTGCAGGATAAAGAAAACTTTATCCCGTTGGCTTTCTGAGTCACTCGGCACCCGTACCGTGTTATCTGAAAGAAAAGCGCAACAACATTCTAAACTTCTGCTGACTGGACCACATTATAATATTTCCATCTCATTTTTGGACTCTGTCTTTGTTGACACGTGTAATATAACAACAATGTGTATTTATAATACTCTCACTGGATGTAATAAGACGTCGTTATTTGCTACTCACCGAAGGAGTTAAATATTTAACACATCTGCATTGGTGAGTCACTATTTTGGTTTTCAGGTCCTGTAATGGGCGAGGCAGGGAGAAAAAGTTGATACGGAAAGAAGACAAAGTAACACATTGTCCTGGTTACATTTTGAGCTAAAAGCTCGTCTGAAGACTAATTCAGTGTGGCAAAATAGTGAGCACTATTTATTATCCAAACATTTAGTCTAAAGCCTAACGATGAACGGATAAAGGGTAATCACGCTATGCTATCCCGCTATGGTAATGCTGAAAGATGCAATAATTTGATATGGTGCAAAACACACTGAATTAAAAACACCACATTCTTCTGTTTATTTTACCTCCAGAAAGTTCTGCGCTGTGCCCTTTAGCGTTCACAACTAGTTACTAAAGATGGCTGGATGAGCAGGTTTCTCTGTGGGCTTCATACTCGTTTAGGGTGTATCAGTAATTACAACATTCACACAATGGGAATGTTGACATACTGCTGTCATTTTCCATGCTTCTGTTTATTTTTTTGCTGTGCTCAGTAGCCCGTCTGTGGGCTGTCCTCATCGTAACCTACCACTCATGATCTCCTCAACTCCTCAAATAGGCACTCACTTTCACATTCTTTATTCTGTCAGGTAGAGCTCTTTGTGTCACCTGCTTTGAAAAACTCTTGAGCTGCACCGGAAAGTCATCTTGCAGGTAAAAATATTATTAAATAAAAGAATGCATTTATTTTTTTTAAGTTGTTTAGTAGTAACGAGATATGTAAAATCTGGGTCTTGGTTGTACCAAGTGGAAAGCAGCTATTTAACTTTTTATCTCTGAATCAGCTTTATTTACTGTAATGTTTTGTCATGACTTATGAGGCATTAGTCATACTTTCATTTTATTTATTTGTTTATTTTTGTTATCTTATTCACACTACACCGTGGATATGATTCTTGTTTTTGCATATATTACCTACTTTAACTGCTGTGTGAGTGCAAATTTTTGTTTCACCTCAAGTGAATACGTGTGCTGGAATAATAATAAAAAACAATGAATTTTTTTTCTGCCCTATTTCCACAGGTCACCTTGGCATACATTGATGCAGGAAATACTTTGAAATCAAATCTGTTAAGACAACTTGCCCTCGACATTCAGTCTTCAGAGTAAAAATCCTCTACACTATGTCATCTAACCAGTTGTTCAAAAGCCAACATGAACAGGCCTACATGTCCCTGATGAGAGGCATGAAGGAGCTGGACCTACAGGGACCCTGTGTTCCCAGTGACCTGGTCCTGATCGGAGACCATGCTTTTCCTTTAGCAATGAACAGTCGAGGTCAGGTGCTGATGGCTGCCTCTCTGTACGGCAGTGGAAGGATTGTGGTCCTGGGTCATGAGGGCTACTTGACAGCCTTTCCTGCTCTGGTAGAAAATGCTCTGACCTGGCTGAGAGGTGATGGCTCTGATAACCTCTCTGTAAGGGTGCACAGAAGTGTATGTGCAGTTGCTAATAACCTCCAAAAATCCAGCTTCCAAGTAGAAGTTGTGGGAGCTTTCAGTGACAAACAGGGAGTTGGTGTTTATGTGACCGATGCCTACAGCGTGGGCTCAGACCCAGTGGAGCTTGTGGCGTTTCTGAAAGCTGGAGGAGGGGTGCTGATAGCTGGGCAGGCGTGGAGTTGGGCTGCAGATCACCCCAAAGAGAACGCACTGCATCAGTTTGATGGGAATAAAGTGTCGGGAGTGGCAGGAATCTACTTCACTGAGCGTTGTGGTGAAGTGGAGAACCTGCCTGTCTACCCTCAGATCCCGTCCTCCTGGATGTCTGTGGTGTGAGTGTTTAACGTAGTTCTGTTTTGTTGTTATTGTTACTGTTAGTTTAAACCCACAAGTTAACTATAACATGAAATAAATTGCAAACTACTATAGATTGCATATAGAGTTTTAAAAAAATATAATTTTTAATGTAAACTTTTACATAATTTTACATGGATTTATCAGTTTTGACATTTTCTGCCTAAGCAATAAAACAAAGTATCTATTGATGTCAAACTCAGCACCTGTGAATTTGCAAAAGGACTGTATGTTTGCAGGACTGTGTTTATAATAACAGTAGGAAAATCAATTTTATGTTTCATATTTATTAATTTAATATCAGAATACTTTATTGATCCCTAGGGGAAATTATTTTGGTTACAGTGCTCTGGTACAAACAGTAACAAAGACAGACAATACACTACAGTAAGAAAATAGCACAATATATAAAACAAATATACATACACACATATAATATATCTTATATACATATAAGTATACTATATATATATATATAGCTAATAGATAGATATAGACATATATGATATATATATCAATATATACATACATATAAGTCACTATCTGATTAAATATCTGAATAAGAAAGAAGAGCATGTGCAAAAAGGGTGTAGCTATGCAGTATACAGTGTGTTAAGGTGGATGAGTTGTACAGGGAGATGCAACAGGCAGGAATGTATTCCTGTGTTGTTCAGTGGTGCTTTTTGTATCCATTCTGAAAATGTAAAAATTAAACTTGCTCGTATGTTGGTTAATTGTTTTCTTAACATGCAAAAACAGATAAAAAAAATGCAATTTACACAATTATTCTTAACAGTGTCTCTCATTCCTATCATGACTCTTCCACCTTTCAGCTTGGGTAAGGATTTTGAAGACGACTTGCAGTTCTTACTCCAGGGGGTTTCAGAGTTCCAGGTCCCGTCTAATTTAACTGCTTCCGAGGTTTTAGTCCATGGACCGCTAGCATTTCCCATCGCGACCACAGGTGATGGACGGGCGTTCCTGGCAGGAGGCTACTATGGACAGGGACGAGTGATTGTGGCTACACATGAAGGATTTCTGGGACTTGAGGTAAATGTGAGAGTTGGTCTTCCTTTCCAAGCACTCATAGGTCAGAATCAGCACGTGATTCGGACCTATGAATGAACAGGTTTCCTCTGATTTTACAAGTTTGATTTGCATCAGAAGGTTTCTTATGTGTGTCACTGTAATGAATAGTTTCTTTGTTAACTGATTGCCAAGACTTGGGTGAATAATTTAATTTAAAACAAAGCTATTCTTATGGATAGAGGGATGGAGGTTAAAGTTTAGGTTAGGGTTGGGTTCTCCACTGATGATGACTCAGGCCTCAGAGGGTTAAAAATGTGAGTAGTAGTAGTTTGTGCAACTCGGAATGGATGTATGACTGTTTTTATTGTGTTTCTCCCTGACTTTGAGCAAACATTGCAGATAACATAAATTGTGTATTGTGATAGGGTTAGAGTTAGGAGTCAGTGGTAAGCAGACCTATAATGGTTAAAAAGGAGATGTTTCTGCTGTTTTGATGCAATTTTTATACATCTTATGTACACATGACTGCATCTGTTCCTGATTTCCTTCTATTCTTTTAGAGCATGGCTCCATTTTGGCAAAATGCCATTCACTGGTTGGATGAAGGCCGCAGAGGGGTTGTAGGTGTCATGAATATAGATGCTGCACTCAATATTCTCAGCAAGTCAGGGCTGAAGTGTGAGAAGACAAAATTCAGGAAAGACCACAGCGTGTTTGTGTGTAAAGCGTATATCACTGAGCATTTGGAGGAAATCCAAAACTTTGTGGCAGAGGGAGGAGGCCTGCTGATTGGAGGACATGCCTGGTACTGGGCACAGACACATAGTGGGCAAAATCCACTTACAGAATTCTCAGGTATGAAAGTGCACAACCAATGCATCTGATTAGTGTGACATCTCCAACAATACACCAGAGTATTTTAAGTCAGATTTGTTTTAATGTCTTTCAGGAAACAAGATCTTAAATCAAATGGGATTGAGCCTGTTGGGAGCAACAATC